TTTTAAAGGGAATGTACATCATTGGCTTTCACTGTAATTTTCAGAAATGAACTAGTTGAGGGGTAGTATAATAGATCAAAATATTGTTACACTGACATGTTTGAAGTTTTGTGTCCGAAAATGCTGGAAAAACCAAGAAAACAAAAATGTTCAAGTACTCTGGTTCCCTGACTCCACTAAAAATGAAATGGATCAATTTATAGATGCCGGAAAATTGTAAGGTAAGGGAACAAGTCTAGCTGGCCTGCACCCGTTCATGAACATGTTACCAATAGCAAACACAATTTGGACTGAAACAAATGGTAAATATGGAGCAGTAGTTGAAAAATAGTTAGGTTTTTCCAACGGTGGTCAGCCGACCACCGTTGGAAATGCATTCAAAAATACCATTTTCTTGAAAATGACTTCACACCAGGTGCCATAATTTTACAGAATGCTTCAGACTGTCATTTACCAACATCCTAGTAAGGTATTTCGTAAAAACTTGGTAGTTTTATTTTTCGATGTTTGCAAATGTTGTATTTTCCCTTTAAACCACACTACCCTCATCACACCTCCACTGTGAACACACACTTTGTGGTCACTTTTTTTTGGATACCTTATCATGTTTGTGTTTGCAAAGGTAATGACAGTGCAAATATACAGGCACAATGAAGTGCAAGTGGGTATACCTGTACATGTACAGTACTTCAGATAAGAATTAGCACAAATGGGCATCGTTCATACACCATTTTAAATTTACTTAATTAATTAACACTACGGTAATATGTACATTTTTGAAAGCTTTTCCCTGCCTGCTGGCTTAATTTGAACTCATTATAAGATGGAATTTTGCGTCGGGGTGATGTAAATCAAATTAGGTTTTGTCCTTCACCGACGTTTAAACACTGTATAATTACTCAGTGTTACCTCCCGAGTGAAAGTTGGAAAAAATCACTCGGGTGGGACTCGAACCCAGGACCTCCTGCTTTCTAGTGCAGATGTCTTACCACTCGACCAACGAGCTAACGGTATCGGTTGGCTGGTTCGAATCTGATGTATATAGCAGCGGGTACCTGCTCGATACAGTTGAGATGTCCTTGCAATAAAAACAAACTATAGATTTCATTTTGTTTTCTTATTTGCCTGGAATAAAGAATAAAAAGGAATAATAAAATGTTTCAACATCTTCCGGAAAATAATTTTAAAGTCCCTGCTGGAGTACATTTGAATGACCACTCATTCAAAATGCATCTATAGGCATATGATCCATATTCTCCCATGCTTTCTTTGACTGGATATTTATTATTGAATAATATTTTTCTAAAAGAGGATGATTATTTTCATAATTTGGTAGCATCTGGCGGGAGTGTACATCATGTTTGATGTGATCCATATGGCACGCGGGCGTGCCCTGCCGAGCGTGACACAATAACAGTGTGTCATCAGTTACTAACTGCCAAGGTTGCCTGAATTATTGGAAGGCCGACATTACTTTGTCAAATTTTAAATATTTTTGAGTTATTCGTTTCTTATTGGATTGTTTATCTTTTAAATTTTAGTTACGTGTTTAGTTTCTTAGGATTTACCTTTGTGCAGAATAAATTAGTGCATTCACTTGCTTACAACACTCCAATTCATGGTATCACAAAGGAGTTAACGCAAAATTACAGTTCAAGCTTCTTCGGTTTTTATGTAAATGTAGGCCTAACCAAAAGAATAAGTGACGAATTGAAAAATGGTTATTTTAGAAAGATCTGGGCTCAATTTCATGGCTCTGCTAACCACAGAATTCCGCGCTTACGATCAACATCTTAGCTAACAGCGCTAAATACTTAAGTTCTAATATGTATGTAGCATAAAAATTTGGCACTAACCCTGTAAGCACAGAATCCTTGGTTATGGGATGTACGCATGCGCACAAGTCTAACCGTAAGCACACTTACCGTATAAGCACAGAATTTTTTGTAAGAGTAAGCAGGGATTTTTCGCTAACGGTAGGCAGAGCCATAAAATTGGGCCCTGGTAAAGATTAGTTTTGTATTTTATATCATTAGTTTCTGTTTCATTGTCAAGTTGGCTCGGGCATAATTTTGTTTTTACAACATGGGTCAAACGATCCTTATTCCTATTGTGGTTTGGATTTAGCCATTTCCTGCATTTGGCTCAAGCTTTGTACTGATAAGACTTATCAGGCCGTCCTGATTACTCCATTTCCCTTTTTTATAGGAAATTTAATGATGATGACATTTGTCTGACCTTTGCTACTTGTGAGTGCACTTCATATAAAAATAGCCTCCTTATGAGAAAAATTACCTAATAATTTTTGTGTTAACTCTCCTATGAAAACGTACATTCTGTGCCAAGTTGTCTTATCAGTCAAAATAATTTGTGTGACTGTTTTCAACGGTTAAGAGCTCCCAGCCTATCGTACATAAAGCAGGATTGACTGGCTGTGACTGTTTGTAAGTAGATCAATAGCTTCGCTTTGACTGTAGGTAACTGATAAGCCAGCTGTGCCCACAGCTTGCCTGCTTTGTCTGTTCTAGACTGAGTTTCATTAGTCACAGTGCTTGCTGCTTGCTTGACATATGATCTGACTGCTGGTGACTAGCCTGTATTAAAAGTATAGTTGGGGAATCAGATGGAAATCTTTACTGTCTGTGACTGTTTAAATAGCAGGAGGGTTAGTTAGAAATGTACCTGATTTTTACAGTATATTTTTAGCTCCTCAAAACGTGTACAGTTTATACTTTTCTGTACAAAGCAATTTCATATTAATTGTTCTATTTCTGACCCTGTGTACTCCTCAAGTCATCACCACTTACCCCCAGAGAGTGGATAAGTTTTTCTTAACAAAGGGGCTGGCTGCTTGACAAACAAGGCAGTGCCTAAACAAACCAATTAAATTTCCGATTTGGAAGCTTTGCGCTAAGTGCCTATTGTTTCCTGTTGTGTCTCGTGTGTACTTAGTGTACACAGGGTGGCTTGGTCTGGGTGGACTTGAGACCCAACTTTCTTCCTTGGATCAAACATGCAAAGAAGTTGTGGTGTAAGTTAGGTTACATAAATTCTGAATGTTGTTTAATCTTAACTCCGTAGTGTATTTTATTAAGCACTGGACCATAAAGTCTGCCAAAATCCATCACTGACCCTGTTTCAGATAATGCAATAGGACCAATCCGCTGAAATCCACCACAAGACCACCACTACTGTCGGTGGATTTTGATGGACTTGGTACTCATGGCTTGCCTACCAAAATCCCCAAAATGGGGGAATGGATTTTGATGGATTTGGGAAGGTTACGGCTAATACAACTGCAATGGCAAATCGGCATTGTGAATAATCAAAATGAAACAACAAACTAAATGCATTGTGTATAAATAAAGACAAACAAATGTGAACATTATAAAACACATCCTTTGTAGGTTTTCTTCAGGCTTCTTTGGTCATTCCTGTTTTTAAAAGCGTCAAGGGTTGCTTGTGTTGCTTTAAAAATAAGTATCTTATGAACAATGTACCTGTACAGGTATGTACATGTACACTACATACATGTATGTACATAGATGTGGATGTACACTGTAAACTTATGTTTTTGGTTAATATGTTACATTTTTGCATCCTGCTAAACCGGACAAAAATGAGGTCTCCAGTTTCACTTTCCTCCGAAATGGCATGCAAAACAGGAAGAGGAACGTAGTATGTAAGTGCTGAGCATCACGCTCGTGAACATTAAAAATGTATAGCACGGCAGATGTGATATGACTGCTGACTAGTACCAAAATCATCTTTCTAAAATGTGACCAGATGTGGGAGATTGAATTACACACAGATGCACTGCAGTGAATAGCTAGCACCACACCCTGAGTATCTGATGCATTCTGAATCAGTCAAAGCTTTTCAGTTCTTCATTAGTAATTTGTCACTGATTTCATATTTATATGTGTGTTTGGAGACTGGAGAGGAGATATTGTTTCATTCATTTGTTTGGACGAGTCACATGATTGATGACCACCGCGTGTCTAGGAAGCCTGCCGCATCAGTTTAAGAGCAGATAATCTACACAATTTATCAGTGGAGATGTCTAGTTGACTACTGAACCAGTTGCTGATAAGGGACCAGTCTTTTGTGTTCCGCCAACCCCCTGCTGGTAAAGAGTTGAGAAAGAGAACTGCTGGTGGAAGTTAGATTTGTTTAATACTGGCATCAAATTGCAGAGCTTGAATTCAAATTTAGTTTCAGTGAGATGCAGTTGTGGTGTGACATGAAGAAAGTGATACGGAGCTGTTTTGTTACTGTATACTCTCTCTCTTTGTCTGTGAAGGATACTCTATCTGATACACTTTGTGCGTGATTGACCTGGTAGTAACTAACTGTACACGTAGTATATGGCTGAATTTGGAGGAGTTACGTTCTTCTTGAGATGTTCTCAACTGATAGTGTCCAGTGCTGTTGATGACAGTTCTTCAGACTGAGATTTTTCCATATTGCTCACAATTTTGTCCAGTTTGGCCACTCAGGATAAGCTGAATTTTAGAAAGAGCCACATTTTGTATTTTATTTGTGATTTGTTCATCTCAACCGTACAGTGTCCAGTGCTGTTGATAACAGTTCTTCAGACTGAGATTTTTCCATATTGCTCTACAGAGAACTAACCACAACTTTGTCCAGTGTGGCTACTCAAGAATTTTAGAAAGAGCTAATTTTGTATTTTATTTGTGATCATCTCAACTGTGCAGTGTCCACTACTGTTCAACTTTCTTCTGACTGACATTTTTTTCCCCATACATTGCATGCTCACAGAGTGTGGCCAGTCTAGATTAGCAGTGTCAGTTTGCATTGGACTTTCCCACTTGCTAATCCTAATCTAATCCCAGGATTATCAGGTGCTAATAGCCTGGCCAAATTAAAAGACCCATCTCCTTAATCCCTTGAGCCCACATGATCCAGTGCTGGGTCGGGTAATATTAGTCAGCCTTGGCATGGGTTGCAGTGCAGGAAGGAAATCCTGTCACAGTTCACAGTCCGACCCCCGCGCTTGACGTGTTGGACGTGTTGGACATGTTGGGACCATAACTCTGCCAGCATTCAACAGTGCAGCGCACACGTCCACCGGACTCGATGTTTTTCCTCGTGAAGTTCCTTTTTCTGTGGAATTGATCAGTGAAAATTGAAACTTCAATGCTGAAGCGTATGATATACGTAGTTCAACCGGACTCTTTTTTTCTGAGGAAGTTCCTTTTTCTGTGAAACTGATCGGTGAAAATTGAAACTGGCCTGTGTTACATTTCACTCTCAACTTTCCACCGTTTGGACAAGCAGGTAGCAGTTCAATCTTCAGTGAACAAGAAGTGAAGGGAATTTGGAGTGCCAGTATAATTTCTTCACTGCTCTGTCACCCATGAGTAAACTCACTATCTGGCCAGCATTTTTTTGCCACATATTAATGATTGCCTACAAGGCGTTCTTGCTTCAGTGAATTTATGAAGACAGCTTACATGTAGGATCAACGCGCATTGGACTGCTACTGTACATGTCAGAGAAATTGAGTCTGCCTTCATTGGGCGTTGGAAGTATGCGAAAATATTGCTGTCCAATGTGCATGCACAACAACTGGAACGATTGACAATCGAGTTCTCATCTGCAGCTTGTGGGTTTGAAACTTCTTTGTTTGTGATATTCCCTGCGTGTTCTATAATCATTTTGGAAAATCTGTGTAGCGTTGTACACACAATCTGATGACATTTTGGTGACCAAAACGTAACTTCACGAGGCTGTGTATTGGCAGTCCGACTCAAAAAATTTACCTGACATTTCTTTGAGGACAATGGAGGATTTTTATCATTACAAAACCTCTTCCGAGGGGCGTTCCCTCCCAAGGAAGTACCTGAACCCGTCTTGCTTTGGTCTTGAGGACCTGGACTCCTCGGGCAGTTCCCTGGAGCGTAGTCTGTCACCGCTGAGCTTTTGCAGTGGAGTCAGCGACTTTGACAGCAACTGCAGTTATCTGGATTCTGGGCTTGATCTTACCGGCACGTGTAAGTTGTGGAGCTTATTGAATGAGGATTTTCAGGAAAAAGTATTGATTAGGAGTCTGAAAAATATGTTCAGAATTTCTGGGGACTAAACATTTAAGTATGTATGTAAGTTCAAACAAATCTGGGAAAAGTTATAAAAATTGCAGATTTTTGCTACTTAGGTTTTGATTTATTAGTTGATCCCTGTAGGATTAAGGAAAGAGTACATGTTGGAAATGAGAATTACATTTACTGGAATAAGATGTAATGAATATTCTGCCGTTTTGATGTGTTTTTTTGAAGGTACATTAGAGTGGACCAATTGCAGCTATCCAAAAAGTAACTGACCAAAATGCTGTTAAAAAGCTTACTTGGTTTAAAGATAGCAACAACATTAACCCTAACTCCCTGGCATGATTTAGTAGGAAACATACCCATCCTGGCAAATTCCAACACCATATGGGAACTGCACACACATATATCTGACTTTCATTCTGGAGATGTGCCAATGCAATGTTAAGGACTGTCAGTTTAGGGGTACCGGTACTGTACTGATCCTAACATATTTCAGCAAAACCTGCTGTTGGGCGTTGATGGGTTGAGTTTGGTTAGGGTTAAACTCCCTGTAAAATTGATTCCTTCTGGCATGCTGTCATTTTGAAGAAAACAAAGGTTAGAAAGAAGGTCATTTCCAGTGATGTGTCAAATGACACAGTTTTGGAAATTTCTATTAGTAGTTGGTTTGTTTTTGGGCGAATCCTTGAATGGGTGCACGCAAGCGTTGATACGACACGACGCACACGCAGTTGCTATTATTCGTCGGATCAGTGCGTGTCCCGGATGCTGATTTCGGGCGCAATTCAAAATACATGTACGACTCGGCAACCTTTGAATTGAACTCAAGATCCTAGAATATTGTTTTCTCGAAATATACAGCATTCACAGAGCTAAAACTTCAAGTTTAAGAAGTCGTTAAGCACCCTTTTTAAGATTTTGGGCATTTTTGTTGCTTCAAACGAAATGAAAAAAATGCACAAATTACAATTGTCCACTCTGCCTTTGAGTAAAACCAAAATTCCTTGCAATTGTTCAAAGCTGTTTTCTGTAGAACGTGTATGTACATGTATGTACATGTAAGTTTAACTTTTCACCTATAGGCCTATGTACTTATCATGAAATTCAAACTTTTCAACAAAACTATGTGATTCTGTACGACTTTCATGTTTTGCTTTCAGCATCTGTGTGCAGTATTTCCATTTCCTCTATGAATTGTCACAGAAATGTCTGTACAGTGAAACTTGTCTCTACTTGTACCGTTGGAAGCCTTGGTCAGAAACGTTTATGCGGATATGCATTGTTTATCCATTCTGAACTTTTGACCCATTGGATACACACATGTACTTGCACTTTCAGGTTTGTTTAGGGTGTAAATCAAGGGCTTCCTATTGTTCCTCATCATCAATCTTTTGTTCATACATTTTTGCAACAGCTCCAATTGGTTTCGTACACATTTTCTAATCGAGGACGACCTCGATTTGACTCCTGTCCTCAATTACACAGGGATGTTTCGCATACATCATGTACTGGCATGTGTGTCCTCGATTTACACCATAAATATGCACATACATTTGTACGATAATGCGCGTGTTTACTCTACAAGTTCATAAACGTGTACACTGTCTAGGTGACCATATGGCAAAACTGTCAGTGTGGTCTGCAGTAAAAAAGCATACTGTACATATGTATATCTTGTGACGTTTAATCATATGCGCACTTTTAAGGCATTTAACATTGGTAATGCGTTCAGTACTTTGTGCATTGTATACATGAAAACTTCCCCTGATGTGCTATGTATTTGATTTGATAAATCAATACATGTACACGTATGGCATCTTATCCTGACAGCTCTTAACAATATGTACTTAATTCCCTTTTGTGTATGGAGCTGCTGGGAACATTTTGTAACCATTTTTGAAGATGTTGTAAAAAGAAGAAATTGCCATACCATACCTGGTACTTTCACATTCAACTCTTGACATTTCCTCCTGTTTAACAAAACAGTGCTTTTGAATATGTAAGTGTTAAATGATAATGCGTCTTATAAAATGAAGATACAATTAACCTTTCTTGATTGTCTTGCAGGTTCTTCAAGTGCCCTGCATGAAGCCCGCAGTCTCCCAGTCGCCCAAGTCACCCCCTCCAAGGCCGAGAGCCCACCCAGGAAGAGTTCTCACAATCCCCCGTCAACCCTGGACATCAGAAGCGCCTATCAACCGTACCACTCCGACTATGGCAGCCTACCTTCCAGCCACTCCCACCACGACTCCATGGCGGACGAAGAGTTTGTTCCGTTAGACGCGACGTTCAATCAGTCCCGCATCGTGGCCGACACGGAACCGGCTAAGCACAAGTGGTCCTCGGAGCAAAACCTCCATTACGATGCGAAGCCCACCCTGCACAAAGCAATGTCGCCGAGCAGTTACGGAACCGGTGTCCTGCACAAACGGTCGCCAGTGAAACCGGATTTGTATACCAGCAGCGCGTATTCCAGTTACACGCCTGCAGGGGACTTGCACGTACCGGTAGGAATGGGACTGCACGGTAAAACGTCAATGGATTATTTGGATAAGCCAGGATTTGGGTCCACCTATGGTACGGGTTTGAAGTCACATGACCTGATGCACTGGCAGCAGCAACTGCAGCAGCAGCAGCAGCAACAGCAGTTACAGCAGCAGTTGGAACGGTTGCAGTTATCACAAACAGTATGTGACTTACAATATAACGTAAAAAAAAAAATATCAATGAAAACTTGTGAATACTTGTGCATACCGGTATAACTTGTAAATATTTGTAAAACAACTGAAAATTTAGGAAAATCCCTGCAATAGGCTTCTGCAGTAATATGGCAGTTATTGGAAATCATTTAATCCAATGTTTGCCTGTTGTTAAAAAAACACTTGTTTTGCCCCTTAAAAATAATGAATGTAGCCCACATGAAATTTTTTTAGATTGGTACGATTTCTATTCACTCGCAATGATATGGTGCATTTCTTTCGAACTAAAAAAATAAAAATACCTAATTTTTTTTTCTTAAAAACCAAAACACTTCAATATTTGCTTGAAGAGAATGCCCTATGTTTACCACAAATACCCCAGGAACTGTACAATAAATTGTCTTGTAAGAAATGGAGCACCCTCCAATGCACTGCATGCGAGGGCATCAGTCAAAATTTCGACTTGAAGAGCAAAAGACATTCTTTCTTATAAACTTCCATCAAGCTTTAGAAATTGAACACATGATTTAATTCCTCCATAGGGTCTACAGTCTACCCACCCTTATTCTGGGTCCTATTCTTCCACATTTGGCACACTACCGGGAGGGTCACACTTTGGTCAGGATCTTGGCAAATTGGAAGGAGTCATCCGAGCCAAGGAAAATCTCCTGGAAGAAAAGAACTTAGTTATTGAGAGGTAAAGCTTAGACATTTTAACATCCTTGTGTTTAGACTGTTCATTTTTTTCTCTTTGTCAGAACAAGAAGATTTACTTGTAGTGCCCAAGTACATGGACATATTTCAGTCAATTTTACCCAAAAGGTTTCCTTGTTTACGAAATTTCTTGGGAACATGAAAATAAAAATAGTGTTCCACTTCAAGAAATCCCAGGCGTGTGTGTGGACATGTATTGCTCACATGTATTATTTTGTGTTATATGTATAACTGTAATTCCTTCAGCAATTTTTTTGGCTAAGAACATTCATGGCTACTCCAAAATCTACCACTCTGCCTGAACACAGTACAGACTAATTCGACGACAGCGATTTTCTGTGGTGGCACCAGGTCGCGAGAGTCATGCTCAGGTAGTACACACACACTCCGGGCTCCTTCGACAAATAGGGTTAACAAAATGCGCTCACTCTTTGTCTTTAAGAACGCTTACCTCAAATATGGCTTCTAACTTTGTTTTTTGTCGAATTAGTCCCCAGGTGGATTCAAGTGCCTGGTAAAGTAATAGTCGGGGCTGGGCACTACTTTCCAAAATCTTGCAAAATCATCCAAAAAGTTGGTAGATTAAGTAGAATTTGGAAGACTTAGGGTTTGAATAAACTTGAATATGGTCTTTTTTGTGTTTAGACAAAAGTTGGAGCTAGCTCATTCCCAGGAGCAACTCAGACACAAGCAGGCCCAGGAGAGGCAGTTCATGTACACCAGAGTGCAAGAAGACAAGGGAGATTTCCTTCTCATGAAAGTACAGGTAACCAACGTCTGATATATCTGAGCAATGCAATTCTTATGTGACCAGCCAATCAGAGTGGACTTTAGAAATGGTGATGCCGTTTTGATCAGAAATGTAGACTAAGCTGTTGATTGGTTAATTTGGATGCCATGTTTTTGTAATACTACAACAGGATTACCAAAGACCCGATTGAAGGCGCCCGCTGAATGGTCAGATCCTGGAGGTCAAGACGCAGTCTTGATTTGCATAAATAATTGTCGAATCTACTTGCATAACATAGACCCTTCCTGTGCAAGGGGATATTCATAAACAGGGTGTTTTCAAATACAATGTGAGAAGTTTGAAACTGTAAAATGGAAATATATAGGTCTGATTCCTACAAAATCTACAACTTCCTCCCCCCCCCCCCCCCAAAAAAAAAACCCCACCAATTTATCAAATTCCTAAAATTCACAAGTTTGTCAAGCTTAACATTAAAATCCAACTCAAAACATTATAAAGTGCAAACATAAAACCTAGCAACCACTGATTCTCAACGTTTTTATTAAAGGGAATATACATCATTTGCTTTTGCTGTAATTTTCAGAAATGGATGGAATTGGGGGGTTGGAAATATATAGCAAATATAGTTACACTGACTTTTTTGAGGTTTTGGGTTCGAAAATGCTATAAAAACCAAAAAAACCAATCATTTTCCTGTAGTCTGGTTCCCTGACTCCATTTAAGAAGAAACAGAGCAGTTTACATATATTGGGGAATTGTAAGGTCAGGGAACCAGTCTAGCTGGCTTGTACCCGTTCATAGGTGTGTAATCGATTGCAAACAAGTGCGATGGTCAACTGGGGCCAGTATTTGAAAAAAAGCCAGTTTTTTCCAACGCTGATCGGCCGATCAGCGTTGGAAATTGATACAAAAAAGCACTTTTCTTGAAAATGACAGTATACCAGGTGCCATGATTTTACAGGATGCTTTACACTGTCATTCACTAACAGTCCAGCAAGGTATTTCAAAATGATTTGGTCGTTTTATTTTTTGATGTTTGCAAATGTTGTATTTTCCCTTTAAGCAGTAGGTTTCCAACTTTTCCTTCAACAGGAGTACCAGTATGAAAACGCCACCCTCAAAGCACAGCTAGCTGAACACTCCTCCATCAGGGCGGCTGAGATAGAAACGCTCAACAAGAAACTTGGGTAGGTATACTCGAAATTTCATGGTTTCAAACACAAATATGTCACTAATTACTTATGGTGTACGGACAACATTATGGTTCCCGTGGCCATTTTGAAAAAAAAAAAGATATGAGAAAACTACATTGCCTGTTGAACAGGTGTTTTACTGCATCATGCTTTGCAAGTAGTCTTTAAGACAGTACTTTGTGAATTTGGGATAGCCTTTTGGTTATTTCATTCATTATCAACTTATGTTTAGATAATTTTTTAATATGAGTATTTGTATTGTTATTTGCAATTTTTATAGGGAGACTGAGTACGAGCATGAAAAACTGAAGAAAGCCTTGAAAGAGGCTAACGAGTCAAAGGTCAAGGAATTAAAGGAGCTGGAGAGAAAGGTAGGCATAATGATAAACATTTGGGAGACAGTTGACAAAGACTTTCCCATGCATCAGCAACATATCATTTATGTTCATGCATCAGCAACATATCGTTTATGTTCATGCATTAGCAACATATCATTTATGTTCACATTGATACTCTCAGAATAACTTTTACAATAATCAGATTTATTTGAAATAGTTAACAATAAGACAGACAGACTGACTACATTCAAAACTGTCACTGAATTCTAGCTCTTTCTTTAGCTCTTTTGAGATCAATTGCAGTGCTTAATGTCTATGGGCTCCGTGCGCCAACAAAAGAGGGCGCCCTTTTACCTAACAACACCATTTCATGGGCGGGACACATACATTTCGCTGGTTGACACGCGCGCACCGTTCCTTGTGTGTTACGCACATACACCAGGGGATTTGTACTATGTACATGCAGTGGCCACGCTTCGCGGCAAAATATTGCAGTCAAGCAAGATAGCGTCGTTTGGTCACCCTGTACTTTCTTTTCCGGTGAGGGGGTACTTGTGAACGGAGCGGATAATCAATTGAAATCTCCATCTTATTTTCATGCATATTTCTATCCCCGTTACAGATGAGCCAAAAGGAAGAAAGCGACGAGGGGACCAAAGTCAAGTACAATCGCATGAAGGAGAAGTACGACAAACTCAAGAAGCGCGTCAGCAGCCTGGAGCGATACATGGGAGACCTGCCCACGGCTGAACAACACCTCAAGAACACGGAAGTCATATCCTTTGAAACATAAACAGAAAACCGGAGTTGAACAATAGTCAGACAAAAGTCAGGAAAAAGGTTATTCCATCTCTAGTCAATTCAAAAGTTTTTTCATATGAACTGTGACAAAAGCATTCCTTTTTCTTGTTCATCAACGGTTACTCTTGGGCTGACTTGTGATTTAAAGGTACGGTCCATCATTTGTAATTTATGCATTTTGTTCGTTTGAAGCAACAAACATGCTCAAAATCTAAAGTGGGGTGCTGAACAACTAACCTGATGAAATTTCAGCTCAGCTTCAGCTGTATATTCCAAGAAAAACATTCTAGGATCTCGATTTCAAATCAAAAGTTGCTGAATCATGTTTTGAATTAGGCCTGAATTCAGCGTCCTAGACACGTTCTCACTGAGCCGATCGCAGCTACGCGATGTCGCGCACTGATCCGACGAATTATAGCAACCGTGTCATTTAACAACCCCATCGACCACAATAAGAAACCATTACCAAGGTGATTCCATGCACTTTCTCCACTACTGTTCTTTCAATCAATAACATGGTTGTAACTCGCCAATATTCCTGCAAGGCTCAAATTTACGAATGTGGGGTACCACCTTAGTGTTCAAATGGGTCTTGACTGTAGTCGTAATTTAGTTTTTAGCATAGGAACATGAAGAGGAATTTGTAATAATATTTTCTGGAATAGTAAGTCGCCAAATTCATGTTGATCACTGGCCGCTTGCAATCATTTCCTAGAACGTATCAAGATCTTATGCTGAGAAGTTTGAACTGAGAAGACAAAAACGAAAGTTGAACAGTGCACGTTATTTCCTTGACCATATTTTTTGCACATCAAGAATCTTTGTGAGAAGGAGAAGCTTCTCAAGGAGCGCATCTCCCAGCTTGAGGCCTCCCTGGCCGAGTCCAGGAACACGGTGCGGAGCCGAGACATCACTGTCAGTAAGCTGGAAGGCAGAGAGGCGGACTTGATGATTGAGCTAGACAGGTATGGAAGAGACAGAAATGGAATCAAGTCTTTCATTATTCAGTGATATACTATTCAATTTGAAGTGTGACAAATGCATTCCTTTGTCATCGTGCCAAAGCCAATCCTTTGTGATTGACTTGTGATTGACTTATTATAGACTTGTGATAGACTAGTGATAGACTTGTGATGAACTTGTGATTGACTTGTGACAGACTTGTGATTGACTTTCGATAGACTTGCGATTGATTTGTGATAGACTTGTGATTGACTCGTGATGGACTTGTGATTGATTTGTGATAGACATGATTGACTTGTGATTGATTTGTGATAGACTTGTGATTGACTTGTGATAGACTTATGATTGACTTGTGATTTACTTGTCATTGACTTGGCATTGATCTGGCATTGACCTGGCATTGACATGTGATTTGACTGCTGGTTGATATGTGATTGAAAATTGACTTGTGGTTGACTTGTAATGGTCTTGACTACTGCGATAGAAAGCCATGCTACCGGTACCCTTGTTCATTTTCCACATTGAATGTGTACTTTTGTATCCTGTGATTTTCTTTTCAAAGTGCCCATGAGTTACACATTTTGATCTTCAGATTTAATACTGAAAGAAATTGCCAATTTATTGGCTTTTCCGCAAAGTTGCGGAAAAGCCTTTGTTTCTCTACGAATTTTTTTTCTTTTTTATTTTTTTTTTTCCTCTTGGGACTTCCAACCAAAATGCCATAGACTTTGTGCACGTTTTTTCTAGCAAACACTTTTGGCATAAAACAAAGTCATATGACATCAAAACTTAACATAGTCACAGAACATATAGCAAAGGTCGTTCGCGAAGATATACGTCATGATGACGTCATCATGGGTCACGTGACGTCATCATTCATGTGCATATTACAAAGTCCTATATCTACAGAACTGTTAGTCCGATTGAGTTGAAACTCGGTATGTAGGTAGATCGGGATGTGTTATAGACGAAAATTGAGGTGACGTCATCATGACGTCATCGTGTGATTTTATATAGATTTTTGAAGATTTGGACCTTTAAGCCATATCTCACTAACGCAATATGATAAATTCAAAATTCTTTTTGTATTAGGTTCGCTGGGCAATAGATAAATGCACAAAATTTGGAAAAATGTGTGACGTCATAATGACGTCAGCAAAAATGCGATTTTTTGAAAAACATATAAGGGAATGTCCGATGGTCTTGAAACTTGGTGGGTGGGTAGATAATAACACTAGTACACACAATCTTGAATGACGTCACGATGACGTCATCGGTCGATTTTTAAAGATTTTTTTAATATTGCCAATTTTATTCTGCTTAGAAAATTTAACACTTTTATCAATCCGATTTTTTTCAAACTTGGTACGGACTAAAACCACCATAAAATAATGAGCACTGCCAAGTATTGTTACGATGACGTCATCATTAGACATGTGACGTCATCGTTAACTTGTATATTTTAAGCCCCTATATCTCATGAACAGTACGTCAGGTTGGGTTGAAACTTGGTATGGGGGTAGGCCGGGATGTGTTACAAATAAATATTGAGGTGACGTCATCATGACGTCATCGTGTGATTTTATATAGATTTTTGAAGTTTTGGACCTTTAAACCATATATCACAAACCCAATATGTTAAATTTAAAATTCTTTTTGTATTAGGTTTGTTAGGCAATAGGTATATGTACAAAATTTTGAAAAATGTGTGACGTCATGATGATGTCATCAAATATGCGCTTTTTTGAAACACATATAAGATAATCTCCGATCGTCATGAAACTTGGTGGGTGGGTAGATAATAACACTAGTACACAACATCTGAAATACGTCACGATGACGTCATCAGTAGATTTTTTTACGATTTTTTTAATATTGCCAATTTTATTCTGCTTACAAAATTTAACACTTTCATAAATCCGATTGTTTTCAAACTTGGTACAGACTAAAACCGCAATAAAATAATGAGCACTGCCAAGTATTGTTACAATGACGTCATCATTAGACATGTGACGTCATCGTTTGTATATTTTAAGCCCCTATCTCATCAACAGTAATTTAGATTGGGTTAAAACTTGGTATGGGGGCATGCCGGGATGTGTTACCAATAAATATTGAGGTGACGTCATAATGACGTCATCTTGTGATTATATATATATTTTATATATGACAAATGCAATATGCCAAAATCAAATTTCCATTTGAATGAGGTTTGTTAAACAAAACGTAAATGCACACAGTTTTGCACAAAACAGAAAAACATGACCTTAATTTAAAAAAAAAACATAATGCGGAAAAGCCCTATGTTCTGTTGCAAACAGACATAGACCTCTAGTTTGTATTTCAAATTTCCTGGCAGTTTGAGGAGTGAAGCCAGTCGTCTGCAGTCAGCTCTAGGAGCCCCTAGGGACACCGATCCCACCAGCCTGAAGCTGTTCAGCCGTACGGCCATGGAGGAACTGGTGCAGGAACGGGACGAGGCCAAGGCAGAAGCTGAGAAATACAGAAAGGTAAGTCTTTAAGACTTGGTCATTTGTTTGCTACAGTCGGCCTTGGAAAGTATGCAAAATTGTGGACTCCATTGAACTCTTGGGGCGCTGTTAGCGAGGGCGCTCTCACTTAGCAGCAGTATTGTATGAGAAGGACACTTGAACTTGGCTGGTGCACACATGCTGTTCATAATTTACACTCTAATTAATGCCAGTTGTGGGCATTGAAACTGGTACCTGTCCCTTCATTATTGTTCAAACTTTGAATAATTGATAGAGGCATGAACCGGTCTAGAGAGTTTGAGTTTATGCTGAAAATTATAGCAGCAGTGAGTCTTGTCAATGTTGCATCAGTACATGAACACACATATGAGCTATTTGTAGGTAAGATCGCTCCCAAATGTGGTCCTTTGCTTCACCTAGATTTTCACCATTTAGGGGGGAACTATTCTAGAATGAACTATTTGAACATCAAATGTTTTTTTCTGTAGATGGTTGAAAGTAAACACAAGCAGCTCAAGGCCCAGCAGACACAGCACCAGAAGGCCCTCGCTGCGCTGGAGGAGAGACTACAGCAAGAAGAGGACTCCATTACAGCCTTGAGGGAGACTAACCGATCCAAGGACGCTGACCTCAGGAAGATGAAAGACTCCATGACAGCAGTAAGTCAGTAGTCTGGTGGCCCTATCCAAATTGCCTGTCTAACTCTGGACGCTTGTTTTAGTGATGGTCTTTGTCTGACTCCTGCTTCGTCAGTGAACAGTATAAGTATATTCACCATACTTCTATCCAAAAGTAACAGTTACTTTAAACATCGTGATGGTACCAAACATCCTGTAAAGTTTTTCTTCTTGACGATAGAGTGCATTTTCGTATCCAGAATTCAAAACTGTCGGGAAAAAGCCCTTTTCCAGAGCAAAAAAAAAAAGTTGTTTGAAAAGCAAATGGGAAATTTGAAAAGTAACAGATCAGAATTTCATGGTTTAATGAAAAATGGTGAATTTAAAAGTTTTAAACACAGAAATATTGGGGAAAAAATGCTGCAGAGGCCTATTAATTTATTATGCCAAAATACAAGATTGTTCTCCTCGGTATCGTATTTTGTATAAAAGCCTCTCCTAGGGGCAATGCAGTGCGGGTTTGACATGTATGTGACCCAGTAGTGTGAACTCACTGCAGCTGGGCAGGACACTCAGGATTGTTCAGTTAAGATACATTTTCCAAAGCTTTCCACTTATAAAGTGGTTGTGGTTTTTCTTCTCCAGTTGGCCAAGCAGAGTCAGGAGTTATATGAGCACAACTTAGACGTCCAGGAGCGCAACCAGGCCCTGGAGAAGATTGCCTCCTCGGACGTGATCCAGTCTAGCCACCGTCTCATCAAGGAGCTAGGAGAGTGTGTCGCTGAGCTGCACGGTCTGGTTCAGGTCTGTACACAGACTGCCGAGGGACAGGAGCCAAACGTGTCTGTGCTGCTACGATTCAGAAGTAAGACGTGTACCCATTTTTAATATTTCTTTAATATATCTGTGCTGTTTAGCTTCTGAAGTAAGATAACACTAACGATTGAGACTTTGCATCTCCCCAATGCATTTTCATTAACCCTCCTTTTGTTTGATCAGTCACAGACAGTCAAAGATTCAATCCTGTTCCCCTATCATGCCTTTTACACGTGCTAGTCACGAACAGTCAGATCATATTTTTTAGCAAGCACTGTGACTAGTCAAATTCCATCAACAGATAAAAGCAGGTAACTGGTAGACCCTGCCGGCTAATCAATCTCCTACAGTCAAGACATAGCTGTATCAAGTTCCATAACAATCACAGCCAGCCAATCCTGCTCCTGAAGGCAGGGAGCACTCAACTGTTAAAAACTGTCACTTGATTTCTGGGCTGGCCTTGTTGAACTTGCCAGCCGGAGAGGGAGGTTTAATATATTAAATTATATTATAAAAACCTATTTATGTCAACTGGCAACTATTTGCATCGTTATACATCATTAAAATTGCCAACATGACACAGTGTCGCGATTTGATTGATAAATTGTACTGAGTGAGAGCAATTCCACGTGAAAACATTTGCGTAGACTTTGGAAACGTCTACCTTTTCTTGTATGCTGTGACTGTTACTTCAGACAAGTAAAATACAAATCCATTTTCTATTTGGCAATTTTTTTTTCTTTCCACCAGCTCCCAGTGTAAGCAACCCTGAGCCCGAGGGGGCAGAAGGCGGCCATCTTAGCTCGGACACGTTACACGCCAAGCTGAAGCAAGTCAAAGACTTGCGAGCCGAGATTGATCGACTCCGTAGCGTAGTGTCCAACAAATATGCCGAAGACATGGGCAATGAGTGCATCACCCAATGATGAGAACTATAAATAAACAATTACAAAATTTTAGATAATCAAATATAATTTATCATCAAATAAAACCACCAAGATTTGAACTCAAATAAAAAGCCACATCCTCTATGAGTGATCCCCGTTTGCTATTTCGGAGGTTTGCAGCATTGCTGATGTTTCTAGCAACTGTGAGTTTGGCGTCATCCCTTGCGTAACCAGTTCGCGCCTGAGGCGGGTATACACGCAAAAGTTTTGCAGTATTCGGAACGGATGACGGATAAACAGGCAGGGAGCGAGGCCGGAAATATCTGTCAGCAACCCACTTGCAACGAGCGAGGCCGAAAATATGAGTGTGCTGCCCGAGGTTGAGGGCTTCAACCCGCCTGGCTTGAGGTCGAATGAAAAGTAATCCCGCACCTCATTTCATTCTTGTCATGGGTTTATGGCTTCTGACTAGCGCCCCTTGAACAAAGACGTTGTAAAAATGGGGAACCACCAACACATGTCTGGGTAGTTCAGTCGGTAGAGCATCGGTACGATGTTCCAGAGGTCGCAGGTTCAAACTCTGCTCCAATGAATTTCTTTGTTCGAATTTCAAATTACAGTGGAACACCACTATAATGGACATCGCAGGATAGCGATCGTTCAGTATAGCAATTTAAAGCTGACAGTGCTCCGGTACTCAATTTTCAATAAATAGCACCCTTCATCAGAACTTTACCCTGCACGCCCTGGTAGTTACTGAAAGACGACTTTGAACACGTGCCGACTATAGAATTATGTAATAACACAGTTTTTGAGCTTACTACCTAAAGTAATGGGTGGCTTTCCCCTTCTATTCCTTAGGAAAATAATAGCCACTTGTCGCTCTTCTGTTAACATTTTTCCAACAACAACATTCGGTATATTTTGTACACAAAATCTGGAGCCAAGCACGATGTTCGGTAATGCCGAATGTTCCGTAAATCGGTGTTTGATATGGCAACGTTCCACTGTATATTCAAGTAAATTATAAAGTATATACCCATGCACCAAGCTTGAAGAAACATTTCCAAAAAATATGTTTAATTGTAGTATTGTTTCCACAATAGGCTACAGGTTACAGGTTCAATAAACGCTCACGGCACATGGACATTTAGTAAAAACACTCCATCCAGTAATGATGATTATTTATGAAATTTAAACTTGTTCAGTCTTTTTAGCCAGTCGAGTCATACTTTATACAGTAAATATTTTGTTCTCCGTTATTTAAGTGTCTTCCTGTGTATGTCATATGCAGAAAAACATTCAATTGTAAGATATGAAAGACAGTTATTTGTATATATGTGTATTTGTATATTGCAAAAGAAAATGTCTGTTTTATTTATTACAGAAAGCAACGAGGGTCTAAGAACTGTAGATAAATGTTTGTAGAAAGAAAGTGCCTCTCTTAATACATAGCCAACATTTGCCACACTATAGAACATTTCAAAGGTCCGTCTGTAGTGTTATGTTTTGACAACTTTTTGTGCATTATTTGTTTCAAGTTTGTAGGGAAAGATAAAAAGCAGTAGTCAAACATTTTTGAAAAATTTGACATTTTCTATCTTTGTTTTCCCCATAAAAGTTATATAGGATTTAAAGAAAAAGAACAATAAATTTGTGAGGTATCATTACATTTGTATGTTATTTACGGTAGATTAATTTAACTGTAAGTTTCCCGTGTAATTTCAGGAAACAAATGTGCTTTCAATTAGAGTAATTCCTAATGATATTTCTGACAATGAAATCTGAATCAGCCGAGGGTAGTAAGGGTGTTGAAAAAAATAATAGAGTACATGTTTTTCTGAAAACTGAAATAAATAATATTTCTGATGACTATACGATATGCTGATCAATTCATAGTTGTACATGTACACAAATCCACATTTCTTGTAAGTGGATTTAATCATGTTTTTGAATTCTTAAAAAAGAATAAATAAATGTAGTTTTAAAACATATTATGCAGAAAAAAATCCAACACATCTATACCATTCCGTAAGTGGTTTTTATCTTTGGAATTTACGACAGCTTCCATATTTGTACACAAAAATTGTAAATTGGCACACGTATATTTTTTGGGAAAAGTTCTATGTACTTTTTCATGAACTCTTTCAGTCATTGTTATAGCCATTGTAAAATAAAGGTTTTTTTCCATGTTGAAAAACTAAATTGTTTCTTTGTCATTTGTTTGAAAATTCACATTTTCCTGTTTTTTGGGTTTTTTTGGTATTTATTTAGATGTTTTGGTTGAAAATTAAAAAAAAAAATAATTTACATAGTACCAGCCTTGAAAAATTCAGGTCATATTCAAATTGTGCGGTTTTAGTCCGTTTTTAGAAATTTAGTGACGTATCTACACTCCACCATTTATTTTTGAACACTTAAATCATTGAAAAATATATAAAAAAATAATTTCACACAAACATGTAGCAGCTCTGATGCAAGCAAAACACTTTCCACTTACAACCAAATGTAGAAAAAAATTAAACTTGTAGATTGTATATTAACACATTTGCTTGTTTGTTTGTCTGTTTTCTACTCAAAGAGAGAAAGTCCCTTTAATGATAATGATCAGCTGTTGGTTTTGTTTATAAATAGTTAAGGCCATGACCTTTGACCTCGGATCCGAAGCGCACTTTATGCCTTGTATTCATCCGCCACAGCCGCTAAATTATTTGCGAAATAACTCGGATTTTTCTCAGTATACCGTTTTGGTACTTCAGTACCATATTCTTGTGTCTTTTTTTTTAACACTTATTTAAGAAATTCACCATGTTTTGGAGCACTATTGATGAGGATCTCGCACTACATTTTGTTGACTAATGCGGAAGTAATGTTTATTCATGACGCACTTCGACAGTCGGCACACATGTGCTTGGTGTGCGAAGGACTTACTGGGGGAAAATGCCATTAAAATGATCGAAAAAGACCGCAAAATTATTTGATTCCTGTACCGGAAGTGTTGGAACGGTAACTAGGATAAGGTGGTTGGACTTGTAATCTTTCCAGGTGTTTGAAAAGGAGAAAATCTCGGTCATATTGAGGGAGTATTTTGCGTTTGGTCCACAGTGTACAGTTTCAATGTAGCTGTGCATATGGCGTAACTTCGTTTGTGTGATGTCTGCTCGCCCAAAACAAAAACAATCGTCCAGTCATGTTTCGGACATGGATAGCCATTTTGCTGGGATTTTGGTCGTCTGTTTATTTGGCTGATACATTTATCAAGGTAATTTCGGAACAAATATTGTATTTTATAATCGTTATTCTTGTTAATTATCGTTTACATCTTGTTGTTGATCATGATGATGGCTAAAATATTGGAAAGAATGTTGCATCCTGACGCCACTTCAGCATTTGTGTACAAAGTCTATGCGGAGAGTCAAATTTTTTTTTTTAAAGTATTTCTGAACAAAATTGGGTATGTTTCTCGGTCCCAGATTCATGTCTTTTCAACATTTTGCAATGACTGACCTTAATTGAGATGATATATGAAGAAAAAAATGGCATCAGGTTGAAACATTCTTTCCAAAAAAAACATCAATTTCACTTCCTAAAGTTTTTTATTTGCTCGTAAGTTTTGTCTGTAATTGATTCGTTTTCTTTTTTATGTCTGCATGTATAAATGTATGCATTTAGATATTTATGCAATTAAATAAGTTTTTTTATCATTAAATTTTAACATTATTTAGTGTGCAGTAAGACCCAGTAACTGGGACGCTAGAACTCCTTTTTTCCCCCCGAATTTTGACCAGTACTAGTGCCCCTGACAATATAAAACAACAGTCATGACAGTATTTTCACGAACATCCAACTCAAGAAGTTGCCAAAATCACGGCAAAGACGTGACAAAAATACCTTATTAAGCAACTCCTGGTTTCACAACGTGTCAAAGACGAACTACGAGTCAGGTGTGGGGTTAACAATAACAATGAAACTTGTCAACCTGAACAGCATTCTTTAACTGGCTTGATTTACTTTCTTCTTCCCTTAGTCCAATAAGAGATGCGGCCAGCAGTATGCAGAAGCTCAGGAGCGCTACGGCATCCAGGTTTCCATCGGCCAGGTCCGCTGGTACACCACCTGTTTCAACCGTCTCTTCATACGCATCGGCCAGTGGAAGCCGCGCTTCACGCAGGCCTGGTTCAGGATGGGCGCGTTCATAGGGGTGCTGATGATGTTTGTCTCGGTGGGCTTGCTGGTGTCGACGCTGGTGCAGGCCTCCACGAAGGAGTCGCCGGAACAGGTGTTGACTCCCGTGGTAAGTTGTCGCTGGAAAAGCTCAGGAGTGCTGTGGCCTCGTGGTCTGGAGCATTGAATTGGTGGTCTGTGGGTAATTGTGCAGGTTGTGGGTTCGAGTCCAGTCAGGGGTTATGGTGTGTGTGCCCTTGGGCAAGACATGTTGTCACTCATTGCTTCTCCCCACCCAGGAGTAGATGGGTACCTGTGAGGGCAGAGACGATTATTGTGATTGATTTTAGCTGCTTTTGCACCAAAATGGCTGCATCAAGCTGTAGGGTAAACCAAGCTGTATACTCCCCAGGGAGCTGAGATGGTATTTGGAACGTTTCATTGGCCCAATGAGCAGGGTAAAAATGATGTAGCGCCTTGAGCACCAATATTGGTGGATACGTGTACTTTGTAAATACACAATTATTATAAAAGTAAAAGGCTTTTTCCTTTACACTTGCCACCCAGAAACCAAGGGTACACTCCAGAAGCATTGCCAATGTTTGCAAGCTTGTACCATCCAAGGGAAAATCAAGCATGAATGTTTGCAACGTTTGGGTTTGCCATAATTTGATCTCTAGACATTCAAGCCACTTTAACTTGAGCCTTGTGTCCCAGTTTATCATAAACAAATGTACGTATTGACTTGGAAGTTTCACAAAGCTTCTTGGGTAAAATGCTTCAAGAGTTCAAGAATAAGTATTTAGACTAATAAAATTTACGCAGTGCTGCTCTCTGTATAGACCCCTCTCATAGACGGCCATTCTGGTAGGCAAATTACAACCGCGTATTCTACGCCATCAGGTGCGTGTGCGCTCAAAGTGGAAAATTTTCTAAATGCGTGCGCATAGTGCTCAAAGTTTCTTCGAAATACAGCACAGCCGATGCACGTCACGAAAATTTGACTCCCAAAATGCCCACGCAGGTGACAATCTGTAGGCAGAGATGTCATTTGAGAGGGGTCTATTTGTTACAATTTAATTTTAGATAAATTTCATTACCAACACTTTGTCAAAGATGTAAAATAATTGCAAAATTTGTTGAAATGTTACCCTTTTTCTGTGTTGCAGATGCCAGGTGTGAATCTCCCACTCAGACAAGTCACCTACTTCTTCACTGTGTTGCTTATCAGTGCCATCTGGCATGAGTTGGGCCATGCCATTGCAGCAGTCAGGTAAGTGTGTCTGATATTCCCTAACCGCTCTGAATCCTGCAAAATCCTCTTCAAAGCGGAGGAATTTGGAGGATTGAGGTTACATGGCAAAAGTTCGTTGCTGATTTCGTAAGATGCACTTTGTCAAGGTCTTGGGCCTTACCTTGTGTTGTTTTCGCTCAGCCATGCATAAATATAGGCCAGAATTATGCTTGAAATCCTCCGTACTGCTCCAGGATTTCACTGGTCAAGCCTCAACATTTTGATAGTCACTGCCACAGGATTTTGCAGGATTCAGGCAGTGGTCACCCCCTAAGAGTCAATCTGAAACGGCCGTTTTGTCAGTGGCTACGGCCACGGCTGCTGGCGTCAAGTGAGGATTGTGATGGCCCGGGGTTTGGAGTTCGATTAGCCTGGCTGTCGTGGCTAACCTGTCTGTCTTTACCCGAGATGATCCGGGTGAGCCTTTCAAACGCACACATTAATATTCACCTAACTTGACACCCCTTGTAAATCAAAAGTACCCATGGTTTCGAGGATTTTGGGAGGGGTTTTGATTTTGGGAGGGGTTCAGGTTTTGGTTACCCTTTTTAAGTGTGACATTCAAAATTCAACGTTTCTGCTTTTTCCTGTTTTCTGTTACAGAGAGCAGGTGCGGGTGAAGGGCTTCGGTATGTTCGTCATGGCCATGTACCCCGGTGCCTTCGTGGACCTCCACACGGACCACCTCCAGGCCATCTCAGCGGCCAGACAACTCAGGATATACTGTGCTGGTATCTGGCACAACCTGGTCCTAGTCCTAGGGGGGATTGCTGTGTTTTACACACTGCCCTATTTGATGAGTCCACTGTACGTGACGGGAACCGGGGTCATGGTCACGGACGTTCTAAAGGTTTGTAAGAAATTGTATCTCATTGTGTAATTCAATTTTATTGGTGTAATTACCATTGTTGAATTTGAGAGCTTTTATTGAACATTTTTAGACCTTGTCAAATATTACAGGGTGAGTCAAAAAAAGCGGAACCCCAATCCCAAACAATAGATTTCATATTTAAAAAAAATATGTAGCACCAAAAATAATAATGACTGGAAAGCCAATTTCATAAGCTACTTTTAGATGGAAAAATAACTGAAATTGGTCAATCTGTTCAAGGAATATCACCATTTAAACCCAACGATGACCCTAAAACCTGTCTCGTCCAAAAAATGCGATTTCAACAATCGTCGTCACAATTGTCTTAAAACATCACCAGGGATGAAATCTTAGTTTAAATGTTAAGAATATGCAACAAGTCCTTTTGAAGGCCCCTCTTTTCAAAAAGTAGATTTTATACATCATATTTTTTCCCTAACCAGGGTTGTTAATCAAAAGATTGTGTACTACAGTTTGTGACAATTGTTGAAACAAGTATTCTGTGTCATTTTCTTTGTTGATCCAAACAGTCAAAACACACAATAAATTGCTTATTTTGGACGAGACAGGTTTTAGGGTCGTTGCGTTTAAATGGTGATATTCTTTGAACGGATTAAGCAATTTCAGTTATTTTTTCATCTAAAAGTAGCTTTTGAAATTGGCTTTCCAGTCATTATTATTTTTGGTGCTACATATTTGGTTAAATATGAAATATATTGTTTGGGGTTTGGGTTCCGCTTTTTTGACTCACCCTGTACCTGTATATGTTCGAATTGTTCCTAGACAAACTGTGTCCCATAACAAGGCTAATTCTTATGTTCAGAGACTGTTGAATAAACAAGGAATGATAAGCATATTAAATCTGCTAATATTATACAAATATTGAGTGGCCCAGAGTGAAATGGGAGGAATATTATCGCAAGGTAAAATCTAGACTTTACCATTTCACAAGGCGAAGCCGAGTGAACTGGAAAAGTCCAGATTTTACCAAGCGATAATATTCCTCCCATTTCACAATTTACAGCCACTCAATATTTGTTTTATATAACTGACATATAGATCCTTGTCATTTGATATATTTGAACCTTTATTTCAACATAAAATTGGTGGAAAATGCATTTCTCTCTTCCAAACCACCCCTTCACAAAAATGTTTGAACCCAACACTGTAGCGCTGGCTCTTTGGAACAATACTCGCTACGCGCAACGCTGAATGTGCACACCAGCATGCATTTGCACACAAATACCGCGTCATGGAACAAGCATCGATCCTAACTGTTCAATAGTATTTCCCATTCCCCATGGGCGAATGGGACTTTTTGAGCCCCGGCGTGAATGGGAGCAATAACGAATGTCACGTGATGTGAGTTCCACCAATCAAATGACAAGGATCTGTATGTCGGTACCTACATTATTCCAAATGAAATGTAATTGGTAGTTTTTCTCTATCAGCTACACGTTTAGTGCCTATGATGCTTTTTGCATATCTTAACATTTTTAAAATGGAATCATTTGCTGATATGTTCATACTGTCAAACTCTGTATTCACAGAATTCGCCTGTATCAGGCAGCAGAGGATTGGCCGTTGGCAGTCATGTGACCAGCATCAATGGCTGTCCGGTATATAATACAGAGGATTGGAGTCGATGTCTAGGTTCGGCATTGTACTATCCCCAACCGGGGTTCTGTGTACAACTCAACAAAGTACAGCTGCAAACCAGAGATGTACCACGTGAGTACCTTTTTTTTGTGCACATCAGGATTTTTCTTAGTCTATGGAATATCCCCTTGCACACAAGCATCTTTGATATTCGTGCAAATTTGGTGATTAATTATGCAAAACAGGTCAGCATCTTGACCTCCAGATTCTGACCATTCAGTGGGGGCCTTCTATCAGGTCTTCGGTAACCCATTGTTGTATTACAAAAACTTATCAGCCAATTGACCAATCAACAGCTCAGGCCGAATTTCTGCTAGAAATGACGTCATAAGTCAACTCCGATTGGCTTGCGTGCGGGGTCGTATATACTCACAAATATCAGACGCTGTTACAAAAGATGCGGGCTCCGTTAAACAACGGATGATACTCGGACTAGATTTGTCCAAGGAACTAAATTGATTTTTTACAATGTATTTCTTCACTTTTAAAAGGAAAGTGAATGAGGTTATCTAAAAATTGATATACATGTATCATACATTGCGAAAGAAAAGTGAAAATATGTTTGTTTTTAACTGTCCAATATAAACACGGAACAATTGCTGCAGAAACAGCTGTAGGGACCAATGCAAATACCGATACCAAGGAAAGCCAGAGTGGTAGGTGTAGAAAATTATCTTCAAGTAAACTTAATCCTCGATCCTGATTGGTCAATCCATGTTAGCAAGCTGTGCTATATACAGGGTAGATACAAAAAAACCCAAAACCGACATAATATTACTGATTGGAACAGAAGTAGGGCACATGTGAATCAAAGGGAGGTATCCTCTGTTAGGGTTGAATCTCCTCTTTAAAATGACACCCTGATCATGTCCTTACATTCACGGTTGACTGAGCAGTGACCAAATTTATGAAAGGGTCTATTTAGAGAATTGCATGTGTCCTACTTCTGTTCCAATTAGCAATAATATCTCGGTTTCGTTTTTTTTTATCCACCCTGTATAACAATGTAGCATGGACGTGGTCCATACTGCCCTCCGCGTATGGCGCTATTCTAAAATGGGTGCGCATTCCGTAAAACATGCACATGTATGTAATAATAGGATAACCATGACATTTGATTCCTGAATTGTGGTAGATTTGGGATGATTTACCCAGAAAAATGCTATGTTAAGCCTTATCTGTGAGTTTATTAATCCACACAAGAGTTGAAAAATGAAAGTCGGTTTCAAAATTGTGAGCTACATTATGTATTGCTCTTTTTCTAGTGTACAAAGGTTATGGAGGCCAGGTGGAGTGTTGCCACAATGACAGCGCCTCGGAGCTGTGCTTTATCTATGAGATGGGGTCAGAGGTCGGAGCACCACAAAAGGTAGGTTTCATTGTTTACTTTAATTGTATTGTGTTTTTGGAACTGTGAAAAGGTAGTTAAGATGTTGGTTTATTTTAGGCAGTGGATATTTTGCTGTCACTGGCATTATACTTCCTAACGCTAATTTGCCGTGAGTGCGCTCTGAGAACCCATGTCAGTACTTTTGGTGGAATCACTGCAAGACACTTAGGTTCTGGGACTCTTCATTCCCTGTCATTTTTTTTTTTCCAAACAATTTGGTTACCTGGGGCCCAAAGGGCAACAGGTCACTCTGCACAAGGTTAAATTAAACTATGCCAACCACAAATTTGGAGAAGAAATACAGTAGATGAAAAATGGGCAATGAGGCCATCAGCCTCGGTCCAAAAGTTTGGCCAACGGTATCAAATGAGGGGAATAATGCTCATAACGATTTTTGGCAAGGTATGCACTCCTAGACTTGGAAAATATGTGATAGCATTGCAGCGGTGGCAGCTTTTTGGATGTTATCACCCTTTTTTTCAAAATGGTCACCGAAAAGCTTGTTACCACTCTAGGGGTACGTGTATATACCTTGCCAGTAAGCATTATAATCCTTTATTCCCCTCATTTGATACCGACCAACCCCCCAGGCTGATGGCCTAATTGGTGGATTCCAACCGGGGATCTTTCGATCCACAGCTAATCTCACTATCTACTAGACTACTTGGGCAGCTCGATGACAGACGTTTCTAAAGTATCGTCACCATAGCGTATAACTAGTTGACTAAGTAATAACAGTAGCATGACTTTATTTTCTTTCTTCATGAATACACATAACTTTCCCGTCAAAACAGCCATTCACAGCGCACTGACGGCAAAATAGCTTTATCGTGCTCATTGCACTCATAGGGTGTTTACAACCCTAGACTTTATTTCCAGCTTAGCCTCAGAAGATTTGTAGCCCCTGACTTGAGAAATCTTTCCCAAAAAACTAATTGCCCTTATTCTGCTTCTAGAATGTGATAAAAATCCTGTAATATTTGGCCAACGTTGGAAGTGCGTCTAGTTTAGTTTGGACAATAAAAGCTTGTACATGATATTGGATAATCGGAGCTAGTGATAAAGTTGAAATTGGAGTCATAGCCGAGGTTTCAAATTTGTCTCGTCATTACAAATTTCTAGAGGTAATCTTTCAAAGGTACATGTACATCATTTTCTCTTAGTACATTGTTTTTCATATGAAACAACAAATTGCTCAACAATTTTAAGCAGGGTGCATAATAACTATCCAGTTCAAATTGTAGCTCATTACCTACTTTTCATTTTGATAAAACAGAATGTATTTACAATTTTGAGGGTGTTGCAGCTGGATTCTGTTGCTAAAAAAAGTGTGCCTGCAGACGTACTTTTAAAAAAAACCTTTTGTGTATTGTTTTATTTCGATCGAAACCTTTTCGGGGAGTGATAATGTCACAGGGTATGTGGAAATGGATTTATCTTCTTTCTTTTTTCTCATTAAATCAGTGGGTGTGTTTCCGGATTGACCCAATGTTCCTACGTGCAATTAAGTGTCCAATCCCCTGACTTCTCTCACACAGCATTATGCCTGCCTGGAGGCCCGGCCCCTGACTGATCTGCCACGCTGCTTCAAGAACACTGACTGTGTCCAGACACGTAAGACGGCCTGCCTGCAACCCTCCCTGGATAACACCAGCAGACTGCTGCGAGTCTACCTCACTACGGGCAAACCGGTGCTCTACGTCGGAGACACCTACCTCTTTGGTTATTCCTGTGAGTATTTGTATCTTGTTTTTGTATCAAGAATCCTTCAAAAAGGAGGTTTTTGCAGGATTTATGAATGTACACACTCTGTGCACTAGTACCCCTCACTTGGTTGCACAGGGAGTGTAAGGTTGGACCATAGAGCTATATTAACTTACTAGAGCGCTAACTCCTCATTCTTGCGCTCAGCAACGCTTTGAAGCCGTCCTGGGCGCAGACATTTTGAATTCATGTGCGTGTTTGTAGAATATAATGAAATTAGATGGATTGAATTTTGAAAGTGTACTCTAAATGCAATGCGCAAGTAGAACGTACGCAAACTTCTAATGCGTGTTACAATTGAAAAAACACGGTTAATCATCGGCTGCAGATACGCACACGCGTTGCCCTGTTATGCGTAGAGAAAAATGACACGCTCATTTGCTGATCGTGCGGTTTTTGGCGTATCGGCTTCGATGACGCACCGGTATGGAATACAAACGCAGATATGCAAATAGCCGTACAAAAGAATTACACAATTTCTAGTTCTCCATAGGTTTGTGCACAAACATGCATGCGCCCAGCAGGCATCACTTTGTACACGAGTCAGAGCTCTAGTAGTTTAATATAGCTCTATGAGTTTGACTCAACTCACTACTGCCATAGGCCTGGCATTGATACTGTTTGTGCATATTCAGAATGATATTAATTGTGCATGTTTTGCGCTATTTGTGAACAAACTGGTGTACACACACATTGTGCCCCATCACTGAGCTCTCACGAGTGATCGTTAAAGGCCAACAATTTTTCAGTTTTCCTGTTTTATTTTTTTCACCGCTTGCAAAGTTTATTTTCGGCAAATTCTGATATTACTCCTTAAATATTGGGTATATTTACTAAAAAGTATCCTGAATCTGCCAAAATCAATCAATTTTGCCATACAAAAACAATTTTGGTGGCCAGTGAGTCCATCAGAATCCACCAGTTAGCCGGGAGTAAATCTGTTGAGATTTTGAATCCATCAAAGTCCCCCAACTGCTCAATATGGAGGTATCCTGAATCCATCAAAATTCAGCAGTACTCCTCGGCTTCACGTCCTGAATCCATCAAAATCCCCCAACTGTTTCAATATGGAGGTATCCTGAATCCGCCGAAATCTCCCGAAACAGAGGTGTGGATTTTGATGGATTGAGGTACGTTAGGGTTTTATACCTTTGATCTCAAACATGTAGTTTCATTGGACAGCACCCTCAGGGTTCGGAAAATGGACAATTTAATATTTGTGTTGGTTCTTTCTGTGTTTTTGCAGTGAGTGTGACAAACTACATTCCACAGTATGCCTTCTTGCCCCTGACGCTTCCAGACATCATAGAACTCTTCTGCAAGTATCCTTTGTCAAAAAATAAGCCCATTAACTTGAGAATATGTGCAGTTTTCCCCCATGCTCACACAAACCCAATTTTACAGAGTCCAGTCCATCAAAAGTCCTCATAACTCCATCACGAGTCAGTCAGTGCCATGTCAAGTCAGAAACTATTCACATAGTTTCTGACTTCACACGGGCAAAACCTAATTTGATTTACATCACCCCGACGCAAAAATCCCATCTTATGAATAGTTAATGCGGTACCCGCTGCTATGTACATCAGATTGAAAGAACACCAAACTTTTTTTGTGATCCGTGGACAGAACCTTAAAATGGTGGTTGTGTTTAAAATTCCGTAACTTGAAAAGTACACGAGTGATTTGAATGATTCTTGTACTAAAAGAAAGCTCATGAATTGGACTTTCATATACTAGATTTTGAAAGTGCTACATGCAGAAACTCAATAAAACAATGGTCACAACATTTGGGTTTCGTTTTTTTTTAATCACCCTGTTTATCCTTAAAGTTGCAAAACTCATGATTTACCATTTGTAGGTGTCTTAACTGAAGGAAATGAACTGGTTTCAAAAAGTTACACAACTCAAAGGTTTCCATTTTGCTTAACCCAACTTGCCACAGATATTTAATCTCATTCTCCGGTGCTCTAGCAATTCTCAACGCCATCCCCTGCTATGCCTTAGACGGCCAGTACATCCTACAGGCCTTCCTGGAGCACACGTTAGCCAGTCGCATCACGAGCACATCAGACCGCAACCTCATCTACAGCCTGATTCTCCTGTTTGGAACGCTGCTCCTAGGGGCAAACTTGGTGCTCGCTCTATTCGCCCTCATCTTCAGGTAGCATTTGTAGACAGTGTTTTTTTTTCTTCTTTTATTGGTTAATTTTATTTTAATATAGGTTTTCCTGGCCGATTTCGTGAAATGTTCATTCACTTCTGAAAATCGGTCATTTGTTTTCGTGTGAATTTGAATGCACGTCTTGAATCCCATTTCAATTCTATGAAAGTTCAATCGTTTTCATTGTCCGTGCACTCGGTTTTGAGAAACAGACGGCCAATTACGTTACCTGTGCATTCATTTACGCAAGCGTACCTTTTCTAAATTGATTTCAGGTACAGCTAATTTGAATGACGGTTAATGAAAGAGAAACCACTAATTGTATCTGGTGCCGATGGCATTAAACTAAAAGTGAAATAGAATGGTGAACGTTTGGAATTTGCCCTCTAAAAGCGAAAAAGAAGTCTTGTAAACGAATCTGAATGACATAAAACAAAAGGTGCTGCTCAATCACTTAATAGATTGAATTGAAATGGAATTGAATGCTCTGCTAGCGAAAATGAAACGCATATTCAGAGTGATTCTCAAATTCAGACGAAAATGAATGACTGATTTTAAGTGGAATGAACATTTTAGGAAATTGGCCGGGAAAACCTATAGTTTGATCATTTTGCAGAGGTGTCAATATATTTTAAAGGTGCAAATTGAAAAATTGAAATGTTGTGTATATATTTTTATCTGTGAAACCCAAATAATCGTAGGGTCTGTTTCCACTTAATAAGTCCTGTAAAGTCTGTAATGTCCATACATACTAGGCATTCCTTTTTATAAATATTTTAAAAAAAATTAAGTCAGTCATTGGCAGTGTGGTTTTCTGCAAGTTTTCTGCAAGTGGAGCGTCACTGCCCAATGGTTAAGTTTTGGCTCTTGTGCCATGGTATGACGCTTGTGTTCTTAGGCAAGACACTTTACTACAATTAGCTCTCTCCACCCAGGAGTTTACATGGGTACCTGTGAGGGTAGAGACCAGATTGCGCTGATCTTGAGCTGCTGGAGAAAGATGGTCTCTTAGCCTGATGAACAGGGGTCAGTAATGGTGAAGTGCTTTGAGATGGCGGTAAACAGAGATATAAAGTCACAGAATTACTATTGTTAATTGGAAAATGATCCTGAGACTGATGAGCTTTATACTTGGTGACTTTAGCTTTTCCTATTTTTGGAAGATGCTTCAAGGTCATTTTCATTCTCCCACAACGACCATGTCCATAGCATTTGTGCAGTCCTAACCCGTCGTCACAAAATTAGTAATTTCTCAAAAGTTTATTGCCACAAAATTTCGCAGGTCCAGTCATCCAAATTCTGTGCATGCAGTAAGCAGTTTTGTTTTATTGCTTGCAAGGTTTGAGGCGCGCATACCTGATGACTTTTCCTTCTTTTTTAGCATCCTTTTAGATTATCAGCAGTTTCTTTTTATTGGTTATAGTTGGCAAGGTTTTTTTTAGAGGGAGCTTGTGACATTTTTTGGAATCATTGCAATATGTATAGATTTGATTTTTTTATAGTGTAAATAGCAAAGTACACAATAGTTTTAGTAGGTGGTGTTCATGGATTTTTTTTTTATTGAACGTTAAATTTTTGTTGTCCATGTACATGTAGGAGTTACTGCAAATTCAAGTACATTGTACATGGCAAGTTGAAATTGTTAGCAAAATTATTTTACAGAAATCCAATCCTGTGTTGTTGGCCAAAAAATGAAATTGCTTGAAATTTGCAGGAATGATGCCTAAAGGACCCTAGAACATATTCCAACTCAATTTACATGATTTATGGACAGATTGGGTCTTTGGAAAAAAAACGTCAAAATAAGTTGGGAAAATTAGTAAATACTTTTAATATTTCTCAATAAATCAATGATTTTTTCCCAAAATCTTCTTTTGGCTGTTTGAATACTGATTGATGTTCCTCTTGCCTCCACAGTTATTTCTGTGCAGTTTGGAGAAAAGTGAATTTTTGGCCGAATTTCATGAAAAATGTAAGGCTAACCCCTTAAATTTTTTTTCAATTTTGGCCAAAAAATGAAATTGCTTGAAATTCGCAGGAATGATGCCTAAAGGACCCTAGAACATATTCCAACTCGATTTATGGACAGATGGGCCTTTCAAAAGTAAAATTGCGTCAAAAAAGTTGGGAAAATTAATAACATTTCATATTTCTCAATTAAGCGATGATTTTTGCCCAAATTTTCAATATTTTGGCTGTTTGAATACTTATTGATGTTCCTCTTGCGTCCACAGTTATTTCTATGCAGTTTGGAGAAAAGTGAATTTTTGGCCGAATTTCATGAAAAATGTAAGGCTAACCCCTTGTATTTTTTTCAATTTTGGCCAAAAAATGAAATTGCTTGAAATTTGCAGGAATGATGCCTAAAGGACCCTAGAACATATTCCGACTCGATTTATGGACAGATGGGCCTTTCAAAAGTAAAATTGCGTCAAAAAAAGTTGGGAAAATTAAAAACTTTTAATATTTCTCAATAAAGCGATGATTTTTGCCCAAATCTTCAATATTTTGACTGTTTGAATACTGATTGATGTTCCTCTTGCCTCCACAGTTATTTCTGTGCAGTTTGGAGAAAAGTGAATTTTTGGCCGAATTTCATGAAAAATGTAAGGCTAACCCCTTACATTTTTTTCAATTTTGGCCAAAAAATGAATTTGCTTGAAATTTGCAGGAATGATGCCTTAAGGACCCTAGAACATATTCCAACTCGATTTATGGACAGATGGGCCTTTTAAAGGAAAAATTGCGTCAAAAAAGTTGGGAAAATTAATGTTTAATAATGTTCAATATTTCTCAATCAATCGATAATTTTTGCCCAAATCTTCAATATTTTGGCTGTTTCAATACTTATTGATGTTCCTCTTGCCTCCACAGTTATTTCTGTGCAGTTTGGAGAAAAGTGAATTTTTGGCCGAATTTCATGCAAAATGTAAGGCTAACCCCTTACATTTTTTTCAATTTTGGCCAAAAAATGAAATTGCTTGAAATTCGCAGGAATGATGCCTAAAGGACCCTAGAACATATTCCAGCTCGATTTATGGACAGATGGGCCTTTCAAAGGAAAAATTGCGTCAAAAAAGTTGGGAAAATTAATAACATTTCATTTTTCTCAATTATGCGATGATTTTTGCCCAAATCTTCAATGTTTTGGCTGTTTGAATACTGATTGATGTTCCTCTTGCGTCCACAGTTATTTCTGTGCAGTTTGGAGAAAAGTGAATTTTTGGCCGAATTTCATGAAAAATGTAAGGCTAACCCCTTGCATTTTTTTTCAATTTTGGCCAAAAAATGAAATTGCTTGAAATTCGCAGGAATGATGCCTAAAGGACCCTAGAACATATTCCAACTCGATTTATTGACAGATGGGCCTTTCAAAAGAAAAATTGCGTCGAAAAAAGTTGGGAAAGTTAATGTTTAATACTTTTCAATAAATCGATAATTTTTGCCCAAATCTTCAATATTTTGACTGTTTGAATACTTATTGATGTTCCTCTTGCCTCCACAGTTATTTCTGTGCAGTTTGGAGAAAAGTGAATTTTTGGCCGAATTTCATAAAAAATGTAAGGCTAACCCCTTACATTTTTTTCAATTTTGGCCAAAAAATGAATTTGCTTGAAATTTGCAGGAATGATGCCTTAAGGACCCTAGAACATATTCCAACTCGATTTATGGACAGATGGGCCTTTTAAAGGAAAAATTGCGTCGAAAAAAGTTGGGAAAATTAATGTTTAATACTTTTCAATAAATCGATAATTTTTGCCCAAATCTTCAATATTTTGGCTGTTTCAATACTTATTGATGTTCCTCTTGCCTCCACAGTTATTTCTGTGCAGTTTGGAGAAAAGTGAATTTTTGGCCGAATTTCATGCAAAATGTAAGGCTAACCCCTTACATTTTTTTCAATTTTGGCCAAAAAATGAAATTGCTTGAAATTCGCAAGAATGATGCCTAAAGGACCCTAGAACATATTCCAACTCGATTTATTGACAGGTGGGCCTTTCAAAAGAAAAAAAATAGGAAAATTAATGTTTAATACTTTTCAATAAATCGATAATTTTTGCCCAAATCTTCAATATTTTGGCTGTTTGAATACTTATTGATGTTCCTCTTGCCTCCACAGTTATTTCTGTGCAGTTTGAAGAAAAGTGAATTTTTGGCCGAATTTCATGAAAAATGTAAGGCTAACCCCTTACATTTTTTTCAATTTTGGCCAAAAAATGAAATTGCTTGAAATTTGCAGGAATGATGCCTACAGGACCCTAGTACATATTCCAATTCGATTTATGGACAGATGGCCCTTTCAAAAGAAACATTGCGTCGAAAAAAGTTGGGAAAATTAATGTTAATACTTTTCAATAAATCGATAATTGTTGCCCAAATCTTCAATATTTTGGCTGTTTGAATACTGATTGATGTTCCTCTTGCCTCCACAGTAATTTCTGTGCAGTTTGGAGAAAAGTGAATTTTTGGCCGAATTTCATGAAAAATGTAAGGCTAACCCCTTACATTTTTTTCAATTTTGGCCAAAAAATGAAATTGCTTGAAATTCGCAGGAATGATGCCTAAAGGACCCTAGAACATATTCCAACTCGATTTATGGACAGATGAAAAAGAAAAATTGCTTCGAAAACAAGTCGAAAAATTTCTTTTAAAAAAAGCAAGGGGTTAGCCTTACATTTTTTATGAAATTCGGCCAAAAATTCACTTTTCTCCAAACTGCACAGAAATAACTGTGGAGGCAAGAGAAAAATCAATAAGTATTCAAACAGCCAAAATATTGAAGATTTTGGCAAAACTCATCGATTTATTGAGAAATACTGAACATTATTATTAATTTTCCCAACTTTTTTGACACAATTTTTTCTTTTGAATGGCCAATCTGGCCATAAATCGAGTTGGAATATGTTCCAGGGTTCTTTAGGCATCATTCCTGCAAATTTGAAGCAATATCATTTTTCAGCCAAAATTGAAAGAAATGCAAGGGGTTAGCCTTACATTTTTCACGAAATTCGGCCAAAAATTCACTTTTCTCCAAACAGCGCAGAAATAACTGTGGAGGCAAGAGGAACATCAATC